CACTCCCTTTAGACCAGTTTCTTTCCCAAATCGAAGCACTGACAAGCAGTAGCCCTGCAATAGGGAACAGGAGCCAGGACTTAAAGAAACACAGAGCGGTGCCAGTTTTCTCAAGTAAAAATCGGTTACAAAACATAGGTAACAACTACTACAACTTTTTAAAAGCAGATGTAGTGACTGTAAGCTTCAGACATTTAAAATCCAACCTGTAACCAAACAGAACCAAAATTATCTAACCGCAATACGATTTCTGAAATCATTTCAACAGAAACAATAATCAAAGCCATAGTTTAGCAAGAGCATAAAGTAAGCTGACTTTCACTAATGGTTTTGACCTTTTTGTTGCAAATGGAGGTAGCATGAAAATTTCCATCTGGTTTTCATTCATCAAGGCAAAGTAAGCTCCAAGACAAAGCAGACATTAACATGAAAGGAAAGAAAAATCAACATTTTTCAGTAGTCTCAGAAAACCCACTCAGTCCTTTCATGACATGCACTAAAATTTGTACAAAGAAATTCTGAATCCTATAGCCAAGTAAACTCCAGCTTCTCCAAGCCTTTTTTTTGACATCCCAGTTTAAAGAAGTATCACAGACACTAAAAATTTTGTCTCTCTGCATGTCCAGAACCGTTCTGTGAGTGTGCATGAGGGAGATCTTGGAGCCCCAACTGCAGACTACTCCTGGGACAGCCAGTATTAAATTGCCAAATGAGAAAGCAATAGCATGTTTAATACGTGTGAACGAGGAAAATCTAAACGGTTAAGACAAGATAGACTAAATTGTAAAAAGCACTCTGTATTGATTAGTAGCCAAGTAGATAGGAAGACTGCAACAGCTTTCAAACAAGGCAGAGATGCAAAGTGTCATACAACTAAGGTACTACAGAAAACAAACTTCTCTCTCTCTATCTGGTATCTATCACTTTACAGGTATGCATTCCAGGGACAAATAAAAACTCTGCAACCCCCAGATCCAATCCAAACCCCCCAAAAGTGCCTTGAAATAAGACAATTCTTCCTAAGGACATGTCTACGCTGTAGTAGAACACAGTGCCACATGACAATGACTGAGCTAGCTCTGAGTGACTCTGCTTAACTTATGGAAAGCAATTAGAAATAGCTACGTTAGCATGATGCTTCACACAGATAAACATACCCAGCTTCCCAGAAGAACTAACTAGTGTGAGCCGAGTGCCAAGCAGCTACTACTGCATCTAGAATCCAATCTAGCTTGTTTGGAATTAACTCAGGTATCACTGCATGGTGCCATTTAAATGAACTTAAAGTTAACAGGATGGTTCCACAAGGAAAAAAGGTAATAATACATTAATACCAGCTACCTTCCTTAAACTTATTATCTTAACATGAGAAAGAAATTACTTTCAATATGGTACCTGATATAATGTGTTTCAAATATGACTAATATTAATACAACCATATTTGAATTTCAAAGAGCTTTTATTTGTCTGCTTCCTTTTTTGGATATACATAACATACACAGCACAGTTTTTATGTTGGTGTATTATTCGAACATGAGATCTGAGTCCAAATACAAAATTCAGTGATCCTCTTTGAACACAAGAGGTTAGTTTCTTATTCACATGAAAAGCCAACAGACTTATCAGAATACCTCTATACTGTAAGACTTCTGGAAGCAGAGTATTAAACCCTAGTTCAGATATACATAATTTCATAGTACAGAAAATATATTACCTTTACAAGAAAGAGTTTTGTAAGAATTCCTTCAAAAAAGTAAACATTCATGTAAGCCTCCACTCTATCAACCTCCCAAAATCAACTGTAGTCAAAGAACACTATGGCTACCTGCGCCTTCTGGACATGAGACCATTTTAGAAGAGCACCATCGTAACAGTAAAATTGTCAACCGATCCTTTAACTGTCATAAATATACTTATTTCATAATTAAAAATACAGGAATCTCACATTTCCCAATTACAATTTGTCAGCTTGAAGTATATATAAGCATATAAAGCCATATAGGACCCTCTAGCACAGAAAATCCACAAAGCCCTTACTGTTGATTGTAAGCAAAGTCAAATCACATGTTTTCACAAAACATAGTATTCCTGACACAAAAAGAAGTTCAGCTTGGCAACAACTGTGGTAAAAAAAAAAAAAAAGGGAAAAAGAGAAGTTTAAAAGTAGGATATGTAACACCTGTCTAAAGCAGGCCCTTCTAAACTGTATCTGTCCAATGACCAGATTCAATGTATGTTCTCAGAGAAGGAAGTGTATGGTGTTCCACAGGAATTGTTCAGCATTGCAAACAACAGCACTCATGTGCACCACCTCATTTTTGTTAAATAACAGGTTTTAGCAATTCAAATAATTTATCATCCAGATTTTAAAAACCCAAGGCATTAAACATTAAAAGTTCACAGGTTAGTTTTAAAATTCTGTTCCCAATCTTAACATGTATAGTAAAATGTACTTTTGAGGCACCGCTGAAAAATCCAAGCAGGAATTGATTGTCTTACATATAACCATAAACATTCAAGAAATGGTTGGTCTATTTTGAGTTCAAAATTTCAATGTTCCCACAAAAGGGATGAGTCTTGATGATTTGATTTCCTGTATTCTATAAATGTTAGTATACAGTCAACGGTAACATACAAAACTTGGCACTATAACTGCCTCTTTCAGAGCCATACAGTCTTCGCATGCACTGTAACCTACAGTCAAACATAATTTCCAACTGTGCTGGAAATGTTCTATTATTCTATATCTGACTTTTCTATTAAAAATAAACATAGGCTGGATTTTTGTCTTAAAAAGCCTATCTTCTCCCACAACTTGAAAAACAAGTATCAAAAAGGAACAAACAGCAAAAATAGAAGAAATAAACACATTGTGCTAGTTACGAAGCTCTGACACCTGACAGCCACAGTCTGAGAAACATTAAAAAAATTCCCATATACAAATTTTATATACACACTAAGATAAAGAGCTTAAGAAAATTACTATATCTGTTTTTGCATTTATTTCCACCACTTCCGCATCTAGCCGCAACTCATGCAAACGCATTTTCAATTGTATTATTGTGCAATAATCTTTTCTATTTGGTCTGGCAACAGAATTAGATCAACACTTTCACCTACAGGTATCTAAAAGTACACACTTTTTGTTTAAAAGTTAGGCTTTAGTTTCTGGGATAAAACATAGCATATTTAGAAGTTCGAAAGCCAAGCAGGTCTCTCATTTCATTTCGGAATTTTGACAAGTCTTGCCGCAGTTCATTTAGGTTTTCCACAGTTGCCTGATCCGTGCTTTGCATCTTCTGTCTCATGGAAGTCAAGTAACGGTGGACTAAGCAACACATCACCTTTTGATAATTCTCATCTCTCTTTTGCTTCAGATTTCTCCATTCCTTTAAACAAACATCACACATTTACTATGGAAAAGTGACTTTTGAGCCCTAAAGCCTGTATACAATTACACAGAGAATAAACATGAACAAAATAACAAAGCTATTTTATAGGTACATCCTGAGGTGCACAAATGTACAATACATGTAAATTGCCAGCAAAACTTAAATTATAATCTGCTGTACCAGCAGAATTGAAAATTTTTAATCTACCTGGCTTGGTAATCATTCTATAAGCAATTAAGAGTTTAACAGTTCCATTAGCCTGAATGTTTCTCAATGCACATGCCATAAAGTCTTGGAATTTAGTTTATTTAATATTATTTTTGTCAGCAAGAAGATGCAAAATTAGTATGCAAAATTACAGGGTACAATAAAAAGGTTTATTTAACAAAAAAATATTCCTCCCCCCAACAATGACAGGCTTTAGCGATCCTTTTTGGTTATTTGATACTTCTGTAAAATGTTTAAAACGAATTACCTTCCCCAAAGAATACTCTAACCTCACCATTTTTGAGATTAGCACATACTTCCTTGAGGTTTCTATGAGTTTTCAATCAATCAAAGCATTTTTTCCAGACTATTTCTGGGGGAACTGGGGATTGGAGGGAAGGGGGTTGCAATTCCCAAAACTGAAAGGTATCAGAATCTTACTTAAGTAGAAACAGGTAACACTTACTTATTTGTATTTTGGATGCAACACAGATTATTCTATAGTTCCTATTTATCTTAAGTCGCACTCACCATGTGACAGGCAGCTTCATGCAGCATTTGCTGATTCATTTTAGCAAGCAGCATCTTTCCAGCATCAGTGCCTCCAGCTTTCCCAATCAATTCTTACCTTTAGGCTGTTCTGACGTTTCACTTTGCCACTTGATGTATGAGAGCAGATCCATTTACTGAGACTGTTGAAAAGATAACAGATAGTCTTGGGAGAGGGAATAACATTGAAAGGTGGAGGTAGCGTGCATTTGTCATCAAAGTAGCTAAGCCAAAGCTTGGCACGAGCAAACTTCCATTCCTTATCTTCATGATTCTAAAGCATCAGAAACATTAACAGAGATCAGAAGCAAAAACATTAACAGGCTATTTCGTAAGTTTTATTTTCTCATACCTCAAAAACTGACTGTTACTTAAGTTTGATTATACAGTATTTTAACAAATTTGTTACTAATATTAATTAAAATACAAACCAAATCTCTTCAATTCACTATATACTCTAGTGTAAATACAAAATTCAGCTATGAAGGTATAAACCCCCTATCAAATGCCCAAGCACCACACTTTATCAAGAATAGCATCTTGACTTGAACAGCCATTGTATCAAGAAATTCTTCAATCCCCAGAGGGCCAAAGCCTTGCCCATATTCCACATGCACAGTACCCATTTTATTTGGATCAAGGTAAATAAAAAGTTCGTATTTGAAGGAAAGATAGCCCTTGTGAGCTCAGAGACTGAGCTAATCCATGGAGGTCTGTAGATTAGTCTACACATTGTAGGAAGAAATTTGTATAGACACAAGATGCAAAGATACAGCTAGCAATTATTAGTAATTAATCAGAAACCACTTACTGCTATCAGCTGAAAACTTTTATGAAGCATTGCCACAAGGAGTTTAGTTAATACTATCACAACCACCACATTGTAGGTACCAACAATAACAGCACCCACAAAAGACTGTAATTCTTCACCATAGCTAAAACGTGTGACAAAGATTGCTACATGTGCCAGGGAGAATATATACCAGAACAGAGCAAAACATGTGCCAATAAACCTACAAAAACAAGGAAAAGAATCTGGTTAGGTAAAGCAAATACCAGAAGTGAGTTTACTTAACGTAAATTCAAGTTCAGTGAAAAATTCCACTTTTGTTTAATTACGAGGAATTAAGGGCTAGAACAATACAGCTATTTCATAGATATCAAACTCACGAATGGAATGTGTCATTGCTCTGTTGTTCACAGAAAATCCCTGCACAGTCCTTTTCTTCATTTACGGTAAATCCTTTATCATAAAGTTGTGTCAATCCAATTGTGAACGAGAACAAGACAAGAAGAAACATGCCCAGAAATTTTCCAAAATCTTGTAGCATCTGCCCCATTGAAATCTGTGAAATAGATTTATTTCCAATTTTAGTAAAACATGTAGTTATTTTTGTTTGTATTCTCTCCTTCAGCCTCTAATCAAGAAAAAAAAAATCTACTTACATTTTAAATATTTAACTTAAAATTTAAGATGCTAAACAGACCTCAGAATCAGGAGGTACCATTGTACCATTTTTCAGTCAATAATTCTAGATGTTAAAAGAAAATTTAAGTAGTTTTAACATCACTTCATAAGTTCATATCTTTCAATTAACCATAAGCAACAGTATGTACACCTTATTCTCTATTTGTAATAACAATGGCAATAAGGAACTCACAAGTCAACAGATAAAAGCAGTAAATTAAATGCCTTTGAACATAAATACCATCACAGAAAGTTAAGAAAACACTTAATAAGGACACTGAATTAATCAAAATATTTGGAATCATAATTCATCACTAATCAAAAAATAGTATACCAAAGCCCATCTGCAGAAAACAGAATTAATTCACTGTATGTTTTATGTAAGATTTTAAATATACACAATGTGTAGGTGTATAAGCACATAAAAATTGAAGGGTGTAAAGTATAGAAGATATGACACTAAATTTAGATCATTAGTTTCCATTTCATACAGAAGCTTGCAAGAGTACAAATACAGTATCTTTAAAGAAAAAAAAAAAAATTATGCTTATGCATTTTTCCAATGCAGAGAAGACCCTGACTTACTTCTGTTGTAACCACCAATTTTTACACAGGCACAGCATAAACTGTTTATGGCATTTAAATTACTTTTCCTACAAACTTCCTCAGAGAATAATATCCTATATTATAATATCCTATTATAAAGAATGCAAATATACAAAATGGGGTCAGGTAAATCTAATCCTCTATATAAATCAGTGTGTGGAAAGCCTAATCCTATATGAATCACAATCTGTACCAAATCATAGTCCAGAATTGTACCACTGGTCAGGTTTTGCAAGTACAAGTTTACCAGGAGATGAAGCGCCAGCTCCTGCTCCCTCCCATGCTGCTGGAAACTCACTGAATACCCCTGCTGCACAGCAGATTCTCTCTGATTTTTTTGCACAGTTTGCCACGGACATGGAGAATCTGCAACTGTAGGCAAAACTATGCAGTAATTATTTCATTTGGTCAGAGGATGAATGTAATCCCCATCGTACTCTTTCATCACATCTATCCTCTTAAAGGAAAAAAAAAAAAAACCCAAACCCAAAACATCTACCATTTAACTGACACATAGCCACAGTCAAGAGAGACAAAGTAGATGAAACAGGAATGCACAAAAAGTGCAAACCACCCAAAACTATTTTGTTTGGAATAGAGTCTAACAACACTGCCCAAATACCAGTTGCTTTCTTCATACAGTCATGCTATTCTTTTCTAAGTATGTAGAATTTCTAAGCATTTGAAATCTAATGATGTAATCTAGGGGAATATTATTCTATCTTCTGTTAGTAATAAAAACCCACCACACAGAGCCAACTTACAAACCTGTATTAAAATATTTTTTATTAATCAATAAGTAACTGAATGCTTAAAAATAACTCTAATAGCCAAGAGAACACAGTAGCTGCTTTCCCCCCCCACTGCTGGGTTTCCATGCCATATTTGATTACCACCATTTGAACTTTGTGACCTACTTTCAGAAAATACTGTAAGAGCTGTTGCACAAGCTGTACTGGCCAACAGTAATAACATAAGCTTCAGTGTGCCACTGAATGGGGTGACTGTTGACTGTTTTTATTTACTTGGAAAATTTCATAACATAGCCTCCTAATAAAAAACTTGTGAAAGATCTAGTACATAAATAAATATGCACATTAAACAGTGACTCTCTTTAAAATGTGGAGAGACTTCAGTGTTCAATCAATTTGTATAACAAGCCTAATGCTTACTGCAGCATCAAGACTTTAGTCAAAATACACAAGTACATTTCCATTTAGAAAAATGTATTACAGGAAAAAAAAAAAAAATTAACAGCAACATAGTCACAGCTAGAGAGAAAAGGGCAAGAAGTAAAACAAACAAACAAAAAACCCTGAGAGGAGAAACAGGCTTCTTCCAATAACATTAAACTGGTTACAAGAACTATGAACATTCTTTTTAAAGCACTTTTTATGATGACTTTAAAAAGACCAATTTAACAAGCCATTATTTTTCTTTTCAAAGAAGGACTACTCTGTATGAAACAAAAATATTCTAAAAGATAATTATTTGTGCAGCAAGATAAAATACTCTAACTCACTAAAATGAGCTGAACCTTCAAAGCTGGAAGTTTTCAGCTAGATCCTAAAGCCTTGATACAAGACCTAGTGATCTGAACCAAAATTATTTACTTCAGAACCTCTTTTGATACAGCTCTAGTTGCAGAGCAAGAGTTTTTTTTTTAAAAAAAAAAAAAGCTGCTCCCAAATATTTATTCTGCCTTTATGCTTAACAGTGATAATGTTTCTTGCAGGATCCTTTCCGATCATCCTCTTGCCACAAAGCTCTTAAAACTAGTCCTGTTCATTAGAAGAGAAGACAAAGCATTGATGATCATTTGCATAGAACTTTATGGCAGTTTATTACAGTTTTCAAACTGCCAACGCTTACACAGTACGTTAAACTAACAACAGATAAAAACAAAAAGACAGTATAGGTATGGTTATCATGGAAAAAATATTATTAAAAAAGCGAACCACACGAGGTCTTCCGTTCTTTTTCTTACCTTTTTTCCATCTAAATCAGTATGTTTTACATGAGAGATTAAAAAACCAAACTTCAATGCAACACCACTTCTTTCTACTTTTTACTTTCTGACTTTCTTAATTTATTCTTTTTCTTTTCAGTAAGACTCTTTATAGCAAATTAAGATCAAGTTTAATTATTTTCTCAAGCAGTAATGATATTCACCTGGAGTGGTCCCAGAATAGAGCTGGTTGTGTACATGAAGAAGAGACGCAGATAACTAAGAACATTAGCAAAAGCAAAAAGACCTTCTGCCACTAGGGTAGGATGGAATGCATCCCAGTCCTTCCTTTCAGCATAATCATGAAACTGCAATATAAAAAGGACAAACGGATACCACTGACATTATACATACAGAAATGCACCCATGCACCGCTTCCTTCTTCTGCCTCCAAAACAGGCCACAGCTTTAAAGAAATTAACATATATGATTCATAGGTGGCTTACGTCTTTCAGATATCTCACACTTTTTAGACAAAGGCATTTTAAAAGCCATTCCAGAGGGAGCCAGAAATCAGATTATTTAAATTCAACACCTAACTCTGCCACTCACTTGCTCAGCAAACCATTTATTTCTCTGTTCTGCTTTCCCTTCTACTCTGTTTTGCATGGTTTGTTGAAACAGGGACTCTGGTACTTTATAAACATGTCCACTGTCTAGTGTAATAGGCTTCAGTCAAAAAAAACATTAAAATGCTGCAAAGAAAACTAATGTACACATGCAATTGCAATGTGGTAACAGCTGGTCTTAAGTAGTTTTAGAAAGGTTTAGAAATACTTAGGACCTGAGGTTCCTTCACTGGATTTTATAAATGACTACCGAAAATGGAAGTCACAAGTAAACTGTTGGTGTAAATACACCCTTAAAGTATATCCACTAGGTACTATTCAACTATTCATGGAATATCCACAGATCCCTAACTTTCAGCTTTGCTGAAAACATTCACCATGTATATTACCAGCTTCTCCTGTCTCAAAATGGTCATTCAAAAACTAAGGAACTCAAAGCTGCTTTAAAATAACTTGCCCAAAACTGTGCTGAATGAAGATCGCAAGAAACAGGGATAAACATGTTTTTGTATGTTGCAATTGCATGTGTACAAATCCTGCTACAGAGACTCTTCCTTTATTTCTTACAGCTTCAGTGTCTCTAATATGGACCTAAGATGTAAACCAAGCATTTTTATTTGGTTTTCTAAATAATTTATAAACTATAAAAATAAATTTTGCCATATAAAAGTGGCCAAAAAAGTCATCGTGTGCCTGTTACATAGGACAGGAGTCCTGCATCTTCAAAAAGGTTACAACTTAAATTAGCAGCAAAGGGCTCTTATCTCAGCAAAGGAACTACTACTACAGACGTGTGCTGGTTGCAAAGCAAATGGTTGGGAAGGCAGCCCAACATGGCATTCTCTCTGTATTTTTTCCAAGAAATGGAGCTTTAGTTTCCAAATGATTACAAGCCTCTGAATCAATGCAAGAATAGGTAAATGAGCCAAACACCAAGTTGGGAGGAACTGAACCAGTCTATTTCCCTCCCAACTGCCAGACAGCTGTCAACTCACAGTTTGCAATACAAAATAATGGTGCTACTGCACTGGCTTGAATTTTACTAAAATATTCATATGCAATGGTCTGGCAGCTTGCCATATGCTGTGTGGCTAACAACACATGCAACAGAATGGGAATGATCGTTTTTGAAATTTGTATCTTCAATCAAATCCAGATGGTTTTTCACAGAGAAAAGACAAAGCTCCTCTATGGTCTCTTTTTTTTTCTTCCTTACTACCAAAAAGACCCCCAAATAAAAAAAACCCCACCAAACCAAAAACAATTAACCCCCCCTCCAAACTACTTATGACATTTAAGCATATGTAATCAAAAGCTAAATAAAACTTTCCATAACAAAAAAGCATTAGGCAATCTAAACACAGAGATTACTATTAGCATTCTGCATAGTACTGATGTATGGAATGAGGTGAGTTCAAATGCCAGATCAGATGACCTGTATGGGGAGATTTCCCCAAATGAAAATCAAGCCATTTAGAAGACCAGTCAGTTCTTAGAAAGAAGACAGTAGCTCTGTGTGGGGTCCCTGAGTACTTGGACATGTCTTGATGTGTCTTCTAACTCCCATTTGTCTCATCAACTTCTCTTTCAAGCCCAAGATGCAACAAGACCAGCGATCTTGACTACATGGCATATACCACATAGAACATTCAACTCCGAAGCCTGAACTGTATCCACATAGTAGGCTATACTAATGTATTACACTTACCTACAACATACTACTACTAACATACTACACATAACATATCTTCACCTATTTTGCAGCAATGTACTAACATATTTGCCCAGTCAGTCCCAGAGGAGCTTTGGATCTATGAAGATAGGTGCTCACCTTGTTATGGGCAACGACTTTGAGGGCAAAAGTTGCCAAATACAGGGAATTCATGACAAAACTAAGCTGATTACGGGATTCTTCTAAAAAGTCTTCTAAACCATCATACCAGAGTCTTTTAACATCTGACCACACCATTCCTGCAGGGAAAAAACCAAAAGCCAGGGAAGTCAAGCCATTGCACTGAACAGATATTGTTTTACAACTACAACTTCTACAACTAAAGCACTTTTGACCAGCTTTTGTGAATGATGTTTTAGCAAAGAGAAAGAATTGGAGTAATCAAGTAAAATTACTACAAGCGTTGCATCGGATTACAAGCATTAATCATAACGCAATGAGATTTTAACCTTTTCAAGCCTGCTTTCCAACTAAGGAACACATTCTCCAATAAAAAAAGGCATGAGAGGAAATGAATAGGAGAAAAATTGTACAGGAAAAGGTCAAATTTAAATAAAGGTATAGGGCTAGAATACAAATGCATTTTCTGAATGAAAAGTACTCACCTTTTCCCAAAAGCATTCTGGAAAGCATTACATTGCTATATGAAGTATCAGGTACTTTTGGGAAGTGTGTAGGTATTATAAAATGTTTTTTAAGAATAATCAGCTCAGTAACTGTTACTGAAAAGATCCAAAAAATAGAAACTTTTCCTACCCTAACTGATACTAAACAACATTACCACAGAAAAGAGACCATGACTTAAGATTACAAAAATCATAAGTTTAACTTAGAGCAAAATGCATTTAAATATTCAGGATATTTATAGCAAACTGAATTTTACCATTGTTAACCATGTCTGGCTGTATGGCAAAATACAGTTGCTAAGAATTTACCTAACTGAATGCCTGTTACAGACTTGACATTTTTATAAAACTTGAAAGAACCGTTAGATGAAACATAATGGCACCTTTGATTTCTAATTTAATTTTTTTTGAGTACTTCAGACGTATGCTACTATATTTAGGACAAGAAGAAAAGCAGCATATGTATAAATGGTAGTCAAAAATTGTTAGACTTGGTTCAGCTTTTAGGACTTTGCAACTTCTGTAAAACTTTGGCCCAGTACGAGCAAGGTCCAGTGAATGGAAAAAAAAAATCAGATACTTATGCATGACTTTATTTGTTCAGTCAGCTTTACAGCAATGTTGGAAGGCATAATAAAAAAAATGTGCTGTGCACAGTTCATCAAAAGACTTATATAAATCTCTCTTCTTCCTGGTTACAAAGAAAGTATTTCTAGACCAGAACCTCTGTGCTCCTCCATATGATCACCATGTATTTTACACTGAATTTGTTACAGCATCAGTAAAAGGAGTTAGAGAAGTATTAGATGCTATAATTGATGTTATTTACACACACAAGAATTTGAGTTCTGTTGCTTTAATTTGCTGGGGAAGACACTTGTATGATTTAGGCTCACTAACTTAGAAAAGAGAATTAGTGTATTCATGATTTTGAAAGTTAATCTAGCAAGCTGGGTGGGAGTGTCAATCAGCTCGAGGGTAGGATGGCCCT